ATCAAACACGTATTCAAATCGCTAGTATTTAAACTAATTGTTTTGCTAATTGCTATCAAATTTCTAATACAAGGTTTACTAAAAAACAGTGATATCAATAATAATAATAATAATCTGAATCTATTAGCACTGGTATGCGATTTATCTAAACTATTAGGCAATAGACAATCAATATCTTATACAATAACCATTGTATTAATCTATTGGCTACTATTTATTATGATATTTTTATATCAAGATAGCTATACTACTACTAGTAGTAGTAGTAGTAGTAGTAATCAAAAATATCAAAAATTTTGGTCAATAATGTATAAAATTAAATACAATCAACATAGATATCCATTACAATTAGTTAGACAAAAATATTATACAACAATAATCCGATTATTTTTAATATTAATGAAATTTTTGTATTTTAATTTCATTAATTTACTATTAATCGCAATACATTTAATGATGACATTTATTGTATATTTTAATCAATCATCATCATCATCATCATGGTTAATTATGCTAAACAATTTACTAGTTGTCAATGTATTGATGACCGTATGTATAGTACATATTAATGCAATTATTGTCTATATATTTCTGATAATTGGCGTGGCATTGATCTATATATTGTTAAAATTATGGGAAATTAATCGGAAATTTTCTATAGCCTTGAACAATGGTAATCATAGTCTATTGAGGCATACAATATTGGAGCACCGGTATCTATGTATGCTAATCGATCAGACTAATCAATATATAACCTGGGGCGTATTTCTAGTCTATTATATGTGGTTTACAATTATATCGCTAGTATTTTACTTGTTATTACATTTGAAATTTACGGATAAGTTTCGCTTATTTCTATACGGTTTTATTGTATTTGAATGTTGCGAATGTCTACTGTTGGCCTATATATGTATATTAGTTAACAAACTAACGTATAAACCCAAGAAACTAATGTATAGTTATCTAAGTCGATGGACAGTCGGTTTGTCGGTCAGGGATCGATTGGCTATACAGGAGTTTATTGAACGTCAAACTAATCGTGTTATTGGTATCTATTGTGGCAATTATTTTCTCATTGATAGTCCAGTATTATTTGAATATACTGTATTTTTGTTTAATATGTATTTATTAATTATAAGCATGCTAGATTAAAAATATATAAGTATTTAAGTATTGTTATTTTTTATAAAAAAAAGAATTAATGTAATTTATGAATTTAATTAAAATTATAAAATAATTTTTACTTATTTATTATAATTAGTTGTATATTATTTATTTATTTATTATAATTAGTTATATATTATTAAAGTATTTTTTTGTTAACTATTTGTATTTATTAATTATAAGCATGCTAAATTAAAAAGATTTAAGTAGTTTTTATTTTTTTTATAATAAAAAATCTTAATGTAATTTATGAAATTAATTAAAATTATAAAATAATTTTTATTTTCTTATTTATTATAATTAGTTGTATATTACTAAAGTATTTTTGTTGTTATCTATTTGTATTTATTAATTATAAGCATGCTAGATTAAAAATATATAATTTTTTTAAGTATTGTGTCTTATAAAAAAAATAATCTAGTAAAAAAATAATTTAGAATTTAATTAAAATTATAAAATTTATTTATTATAATTAGTTGTATATTATTAAAATATTTTTTAAAAATAAATAAGTATTTATTAATTATAAGCATGCTAGATTAAAAATAAATACAAAAATAATATAAAACCTAAATATAATTAGTAATAATTTATAAATAGTTTATAACAAATTAATTTTGTAAAAAAATAAATAAATAAATAGTTATAGATAAATAATTGTAATAAAATTAATTTATAAAAAAAAACTAAAAATTAAAACAATTTTGCTAACAATTTATATACTTTGAATACATAGAGTAAATATCTTAAGTTAGCCATTGAATTGATATAATATAAATCATTACAATAGATGCCAATCGGTCGACCAATTGATAGATGTTCAATAAAATCGTTGAAAATTAACCGATTATTTAGTGGCATAACCGGCGGTCGATGACCGTTAGCCTGAGTGGCCAGATATACGTACATTGGTTTCAATGGCCGATGAGCTAGTTTGCCGATCATCGGTACTAACCAATAGCCCGTAAACAATAGGAAATAGTTGACCACTACCCAGGTAGCCAATATTAGCAGATAGGTATGGGTAGTGGTCGACATATTTATAGCCCTATACAGGGCTAGTATAACATTTCCGGACCATAGATACAATATTATGAACAATTCAATACCCAAATAGCGGTTGATTCGGGCGATTGTCGTCGATAGGTACTGGTGTTCACCGATGGCCAGCACCAGTAGTTTTTGACTATTACTACTACTACTATTGAATCCATGACTAAACTTACGATTCATATCTATTAGTTTAAGTAGAATAAACAACCATGATACTATAGGTAAATAGGCAATATAGATACCAATGGCTATCAGATGCCAACTACCCATTAGGGTTAGTAGTGTCCATAATAGGACAACCATGGCCAACAATAACGGTGACATATGGTAATTGGTTGCCGATAGTACCTTGGCTACTAGCCATAAATGTATTACAGTTAGCAAGGTTGTATAGAAATATTGTATGAAATTAATGTTATTCAAACCAATGGACAAGCATATCATAAACGGGTTAACCATTTTACCAGGTAGTGGATATTTGATTTTACCCAATTTAATCAGGTAGATAAATTGCCAGTACCTCCCCGATCTATTTGGACATTGAAAATCCTGATAAATTAATAGTAATTGAATACTTAGAAATGTACCAAGCATAATTGTTATGGTTATTGATAATAGATTGGTTGTAGGATCGAGTAGTTGTGTAAAATCCATAAGCATTTCAAGCACCTGTAGATGACTATTGTCGTTGTAGTAGCTGATGATCATGAATCTCAATATACTAACCAATAGTATAAGTTTCCATACAATTGATATCAATATATGTCTAGTATTTAGTTTCGTATGATTTCCTAAACTATAGTCTAATTGTTGATCAATTGACTGATAAAATGTTAGATAATTTCGGCGTACAAACCGTTCAAATCGTTGTTCAATTAGTTTACGTAAATTTAATGGAGATTTTATTAATAAATTTGCATAAATTGTTGCTAAAGTTATCAATAGTAACCAAATTAGTAGTTTGTAGATAATTATTAGTAATTTTTTAAGGAATTTACTAATCATTTTAATAAGTGATAACATTATTATTGAAATTATTTGTTAACAAAAATTATATATAAAAAGTTAATTAATTATAAAAAATATGATGAATTATATAATATTTATTTTTTCAATGAAAATAATTGGCAATTAATAATCATATATTTTTAAATACGGTTTATTATAAACTATATGTTTAGTAGTAAATTATTTAATTAAATAAATTAAAAATATTTTTTAATAAAATAATTCATAAAATTTACTATAATAATAACTACAGTAATATATTTACAAATATATTGATTAAACAACATTTATAAATAGTTATTAAAAAAAATATTTATTTAATAATTATATTCATATAATCATAATCTAATCAATAAATATACATTACATCATAAAATATCTTATTTTTTATAAATTATGTTTTGATATAATAATAATTAAATAATTTATAAACTATAATAAAGATCTATTTAATTAATTAGTTGCATGCTAAAATAATAAAAATTATATTAAAAATAATAAAATATTATTATTAGCATTTATTAATATGATATAAATAGTTTATTATTGTAGTAATTAACCTAATTATTAAAAATAATATTTATTTATTTATTTTTTAAAAATAAAATCTATTTTTTCTAATGTTAAGTTTTACAACAACAACAAAAATTCAAGTACTGAATAATTTTATTTCCGTAAATTTAATATTAAAATAATACATAAGTTTTATTAATAATAATTATTATTATTCATATTAAATGTACGTCATATAAATTATTATTAAAAACAAATTATTTTTTAGTTTTATTTTGAATTAATATTTTATAATTTTTATAATAAAACTACAAATCAGATAATAGATTATATAGAAAACATAATATAAAATTGTTTGTATAATTGGTATCAATAATACAATAATTATTAATGTAGTTAAATATGGATTGTCATCGATATTGAAATTATTATTATTATTATTATAAGTAATATAATTATAATTATCCATAACTTCATAAACAATTTTGCCAATCAATCAATCAGTCAATTAATTAATTGCATTAATTAATAATTTAATATCTATTTTGTTAGAAATAATAGATAATAAATTATTAATGTTTAATATTTATTATGTTAATAATAAAAACAATTAAATTTGTTAAAAATTAAATACAATTATTTTTTTAAAAATATTTTTTATGTTATAAATATATACTTACTTTATAATTGTCTTGTTATTATTATTATTGCAAAAATTAATTAATTAAGTTAATAACAATCAAATTTATAATTAAAATATATTAAAACATTAATTTTTTATAGACTAATAATAATGAATAAATACTTATTACAAAAAATACTGTATATAATAATAATWATTATTATTATTATTAATATTATTATTATCTGAACAATAAAAATATTATCTAAATAAATGATAATAATAATTATATTTTTTTTATTATTATTATTATTATTATTAATTAATATACAGCATAACCTTGATAGTTTACCATAACAAATAAAAATAAATAAATATTATTTATTATAATTACTGATTACTGTTTAAACAAAATGTTTAATAAAATGTTATATATTTTTTTATAACAATAATAAAGCAATAAATACTTGTTTTTTATTAATATAATAATTAAAAATAATATTAATATATAAATACAAGTATTTATAGCTATTTTTTATTGTTACTTCACTGATGCAATTATTTAATAAATTTTTTTGATTGCTAACTAATTAATGAAATATCAAAATAAAAAAAAAACAAATACATTATTTTTGGAAATTAGTAATATTATTTATTTAATTATTTATAATTAATTAAAAACAATAGTACTAAAAGAATAAAATATTATTTTATATAAATTGTTTTATATAATTTTTTTCCATGAGCTTTTAATCGTATTTTTATGAACCTTAAAATTTAATAAACAAAAATAATTAATTTTTCAATAATATATATATATATAAATATAGATAAAAGAAAAACATTAATATTTATTTTGTTAAAAATATTTCATAGTTTCTAAATCAATTTTTAACAATTATTATTTTACTAATCAACTATATATATATTATTTTAAAAAATCTGTTTAATAATATTTTATTAGTATCTATTAAAAGTTTATTATATATATATTTAATACTATTTTATATAAACAAAATAAACTTACATCTATAAAAAGGATATGAACCAGTACATTGTAAACCTGGACAACATGAAGCTGAACCTTGGCCACAATTGCTACCCGATTTACTACATTCTGAACCTAAAAATTTTTAAAAAAATAGTAAAAAATAGAATTAATTTTTCAATTGTTCATATAAAATCATAGTTTAAAATAAATTTTTTATTACATAAATTTTATATATATCAGGGTTAAATAAATGGGCAAGGCCAAAACCCCTCCCCCCCCATCTAAGATCGAGATTTTGTGATTTTACCCCTCCCAGATTTTTTTGACAAAATTGAATAAAAATTGTCGCTTAAAAACAAGTAGAAATGACCCCCTACAAAAAATTACGGTGCCGATAGGGCCGAGTTTTTTTTTTAAAAATATATATGAAAATTTTAATTTCAGTTGAAATTATTTGAGTAAGTGATTTTATGTTTTAAAATTTAATTAATATAATTATTGGTTAAAAATAAGCAAAATAACTAAAATAATGTTATATAACTCATAAAAAAATATCATTATTTTAATTAAAATATTAAACTTAAAATTTAGAGATTACCTATTTGATGAAGTTTAAGAAGTTAAATATAAATTTATATTAGTTTAAAAGGTATTGAATAATTACGCGACGCAAGATTATCTGACCGCCTCTATATATATATGTAAATATTATTTTTTTAAAATCTGTATTATTTAATTTTTTTCTTATATTTTATTAATATCTATTAAAAAAGTTTATATTTAGATATATAATCAATTCTATTTTATATAAACAAAATAAACTTACATCTATAAAATGGATATGAACCAGTACATTCTAAACCTGGACAACATGATGCTGAACCTTGACCACAATCGCTACCAGATTTGCTACAACCTGTACCTTAAATTTTTAAAAAAAAAATTAAATAAAAATTAACAAGATAAAAATTTAAATAATTAATTTATTCAATTGTACACATAGACGATAATATTAGTTTAAAATAAATTTTTCTATATACAAAATTTCTATATATATATAAATATATACGTAAATATTATTTTTAGTTTTATTTTTAATTATTTATCTGTTTAATAATATTTTATTATTATTTTCTATTAAAAGTTTATCATAAAAAWTTTTTTATACTATTTTATTTTAAATAAATAAACTTACATTTATAAAAACCACCTGTACCAATACATTGTAAATCTGGACAACATGAAGGTGAACCATAGCTACAATCGCTACCATAATTGCCACAACCAGTACCTTAAAGTATTTTTTAAATAAATAAATAATTAACAATAATTAAAATAATATTTATTTTTTTTGATTATTATTATGTTCGAAAAATTTTAATTATTTATTTTAAACTTTATATTATAATTATATTGTTATTTATAARTATATAGTAATTTTATTTTWTTWTTTTAAAAATAAATTTATTTTTTAGAGATAATATCATTTTAATTTAGTTAATAATATAATTAAAATCAATTTTTTTAAAGCTATTATACATATTATTAGTTGAATAGAAATAGACAATAATAGTAAACCAATAGTTAGTCTAAACATTTTACTAGCATTCATTGTATTGCAAAATATATAATAATAAAATACTAAAAATTAGTATTTTATAATAAATACAAATGCATTTAATAAACAAAATTTATATAAAAATAATATTAGTTTATATAAGATTTTTTTTTTAATTATTGAATTTATGAGTACATATAATCAATTGTTATTTCATATTTACTGTACTAAAAAAAATTAAAAAAATATATAATTGTTATCAATAGCTTAATTAATTTACTGATAATATTTTTGTTTATTACAATTTTAATCTTAAATGATTTATTATATTACCTGTAATTGATTAAAACTTATTTATTTTTTAAAAAAATTTATCTAAATATTTTATCTAAATAGTAAATATTAATATTTAAGTACAATTATTTTTATTTGAATTTTAAATAATAAAAAAACAAAATAAATAAATGATTTTTAAAATTTTTAACTAAACAATATAATAGTAAAATAAATAGTTAAATAATCAATTATGTATTAATGATTAAATTTAAAAAAAACATAAAATTTTCATGTATTTTGTATTAATATAAAAAACATAAAAATTAATTGTGTTTTTTATTTTACTTGTTTTTTTTAATTTTAAATTTATAATAATCATATAAATTTGGGTATTAATAAGCAATAGTTATTATTTTTTTATTGCTATTATTTATTTGAATATTACTTTTTAATACTCTTTTTTTTGATAAAATTATAATTTATTTGTTTTAATTGTTGTCTGATATATGATATTTAAGTTATAATATGTTTGTCATTGTTATATAGTATAATTTTGTTAATATTTATATTAATTATTATAACATTATAACATTTGATAAATTAGTAATAAAGTATATTAATAATTATAATAATAATTGATATACACATAGCAATAAATATTATTTTTTTTTTAATATAATAATAATCAATATGTATTTATCGTTAATTTTTTTTACTGATAATACTTGCTAACAATAAAAATTGATCAAGGTTATATACTGAATTTAATAATAATAATAATTATTATTATTATTATTATTATATGCTCTTATTATTATCATTTATATTAGTAATATTTTTTAAAGTCCTTCTAAACGTGTATATTTTTGTTTAATATTTATTTAGTAATTATAATCATGCTTGATTAAATTTAAATCTTATATATTAAACAAATTGTTAAAAATTGTAATTTACAAAACTACAATACTTAAAATTATAAATTTATTTATTTATATTTATATTAATTAGTTGTATAATTAGTAAAGTATTTTTTGTTTAATATATATTTATTAATTATAAGCATTTTTTAAGCATAATTAAGTAATTTTATTTTAAAAAAAAACTAATAGACAATTAAAGTTTTTTAAATTACATAAAAAACTGTAAATCTTATTATTAATATTTAATAAATAGCTGAACTAAAAAAATAATAATTTATAATTTTATTTATTTTATTTAATATTATTTATAAGAATTTGTTTATATACTCTATCTATAATTATTTTATTATTATTTAATAAATAAAATTCAATTGTTATTATTATTATTATTATTTCTATATATTGCATGTTATATTATTAACTACAAAAAAATAAATAAATAATTAGTATAATAATCATTCATAAATCAATTAACTATTTATTCAAGTTTAACGCACACTTAATTATATGTAGAAAAAAATTATTATTATTATTACAGTATAACATATATATACAGTATATACCGGTATATACTGTATATTACATTATAACCTATTTATTAGGTATTTATATATACCTGTAATAAACAGTTTATTGTAAATATCGCCCAAAAAAAACAATAGCAATGTTTTTCAAAACAAAATACATAATTAGTAGTAAATTCATTATATATATACATATTAGTGTGCAATAATTATATTATATAATATTAAATAATATATATATATATATATACTGTATATTGTTTATCATCCCTTTATTTTCTATTCAAAACTGTTTTTTGTTAACAAATATTTTTCAACAATTATTATTATTATTATTATTGTATAATTTAAAATAAATATATAATATACATATTTATGTTACATATATATATATATATACTGTATATTAATTTTTTATTTAAATGCACCAAATTATTCATTGTGTAGTGTTTTTTGTTTTGTTTAGTTTTGTTGTTTTAAATGAAAATATTTTGTTGTAATTGTTTTAACAATTTAACAAAAAATAAATATTTTTTTCTCTACATATTTGGCAGTCAATTATCACGTTAGTCATGTATACTTAAAATTTTTTTATTTATAATAATAATAATAATAATAATAATACATATTTGTATACTATTTAATTAAAATCATACAATCATTTAATTTGTGTGTATATATATAATGTTTGGGTGACTAATAATATAATTGAATAATTTAATTAAAAAAATTAAAATTAAAAAATATTTTCTACAAATTGCTAAATAATTATTTCATAACAATTCAAACATTTTTGCCAATAATCAATATGTTTAACAAATAAATTTCTAATAATAAAAAATAAACTTAAAGCTTTTTTTTTGTTTTGTATTGTTTTTAATTAAATTTATTCAATTAATACTATAAAATATTCAATTAAGTTTTCCAATAAGTAATACATACTGTATATACAGTATATTTATATTGTATATTATATTTTACAGTAATAATACACGTAATTAATATGCTATTGTACTGTAAATTATATTTTTATTTAATATAATTTTTTGTTAATAAATGTAATTAATATGCTATTGAACTGTATATATATATATATATGTATATAATTATTTAAGTTTATATTAACATGCAATAAATTTATTATATTTTTTTACAACACAAAAACAAAAACAACAAAAATAAAATTATGTCTAATATTTAATATATTTATATATATGATATTTCAATCAAATTATGTAATTTTTTAAACTATTATATTTTTTATTTAATAGTTTTATTCAATCTAATAATTAATATACTGTACTGTATATATTAAATTATTAATAACTAGTCTAACATTTAATGTAATTGTAATTTTGTACTCTAATAAAAATATTTAAAATATATATAAATATTTTTTTCATATTAATATTTTTGATTATATTATACATTATAAATATTTAATAGTTTTTTAAGTTTAACAATATTGATAGTTAAAATAATAATAATAATAATAATGAAAATAATATAATACATTTTATTATTATTATTAAATTTATTATTTATTTTTTGATCCAATAATAATATTTACTATTATTATTTAATAAAAACTAATAGTAATTATGATTAATTAAATTTATTTTTTAAAAAAATTCTAAAAATTTATTACATATATAATGTTTTTTCATTAATGTAATATTGATAATATAATAATAATAAGTTTTTTTTTCAATATATAAAATACATGTTTAAATAATTTTATTATATATATATATATTTAGTATAATTATTGATTAGTTATTATATTCTATATATATATATATATATACATATACTGTATATAAAAAAATGTTAAAAAATAAAATATAAATTTAATATCATTTTGTATATACTGTATAAATTTATTAAACTGTATTTAATTATATTTTGTTTTTGTTTTTTAATTTTATTATTTTGGAAACTTGAAAAATATTTACATAATAGTACATAATTTACATAATAGTTTATATATATATATATATGTATTTTAAAAAACAATTTGTCAATGTAGTTTTTATTTAAAAGCTTTTAATAATATAATTTAATAATTACAATCATAAGTGGAAAATAAAATATATTATCTAAAAAATTAATTAATTAAATAATAATGAAATTTATTGTAATTATTTGGTGGTTTGTAATCAAATTAATACCGGAATTATTTTTAATACCAATTAGACTAATAATATCCTATTTTATGTTATGGTTGACTGTATTTTATACAAAATTTTTATACAATAATTCATTGAACAAACAGAAAATAATTATTGAAAAATTTGAACATTTTTTATCTGAAAATTATTTAACAATTCAGGAAACAATTGACCAACAATTAGACATACCTGAGCTGCTTAGCCAACGTAGTAGACGACTACGTATTGCTTACTATATTATATGGAAACTTATCTATTTGTTAACTTTGGTTAGATTTATTCTAATCAGTAGTAGTTTATTGGTTCGACCATCAGCTACCAATCAGCTACCAGTGCTCAATCTAGTACTATGCGATTTTCTTAATCTAATTGATCCTACTCAATTATTGGCCATTAATTGTACGATTATTGGTCTAACGTTGTTACTAGCAGCTAGTATATATCTATATCAAGATCATCAAGCAACAATAGCAACATCGACAAGTGCACGTGGTGGTCAGGGCTTATGGCTGTTTTTCTACCTGATCAAATACAATCAATATAGATATCCATTAGCTAAATCATTGAATCAGATATTCCTATTTATAGTGGACATGCTAACTAGTTATATGAAAATTGTACATTGGTTAATTTCTGCAATACTTATACTAATACATCTACTGTTAAGTTTATGGTGGTTAAGGTGGGCGTGGTGGTGGTGGTGGGGGTCAAATTTTAATAATAATAATAATAATCAATCATTAGTATTGGCTCTAGTTGGTTTTATCGTTTGGACGGTACTATCCGGATTGGCTAGCTGGCATTTGGTTGCCATGACAATYTATATAGTATATATAGTTGTTATACCATCATCTTATTTAGTATTGAAATTTTTTCAATGTAATCGCAAGTTTACTAATGCCTTAAAACGTTTATCATACAAACGTAGTACTACTACTACTACTAATAATAATAATAATAATAAGCAATCATTGATTTATAGGACAAATAATATAAGTTCAATACGTATGGTACGTACTACTATCGATGAGCACCAGTATACTAGTTGGTCGACCCATTCGATCAATCAGTATATACGCTATCCGATTATGCTGTTCCTGTATCTATGGCTAAGCAATAGTATACTAGCCCTGTATCGTATAACCTATATGCCGGTAACTAGTCAACCGTATACACTAGTTGTTAGCTTATGGGTTATACTAAATGCCGGTTTTATGATCTATATACTAGTATTTATATTACCAATTGGCCAGTTAGCACATCGACCCGTAAAATCAATGTATAGCTATATGGCTATTAGTGCCTATTGTGGTAAACAACAAGCACCGGTAGTTAGTCAGACAATCCATGATAGACTACGTATGAATCAGTTTATCGATAGGCTAACTACTGGTCCACAAATTGGCTACTACTGTGCCGATTGGTTTCCATTGAATACAATGGCATTGTTTAGATATATATTTTATATACTTAATCTATATATAATGTTTAACAGAATTATTAAAATTGATTGACTAATTAAAATTATTTTATTTATTTATTTTTATAATTTTATAAAATGTATTGTAATTATTATTAATAATTATTATTATATAGTAAAATAAATTTGTATAATACATGTCCCAAAATTGCCATACAAAGTTAACTATGGTATTAAAACAATTTGATATAATTAAACAATTAAATAAATAAACATGTTTTATAATAATACATTTATTTTTTAATTAATTAATTAATTTTATATTTATTATTAAAAAATAACTATTAATATAAAAAATAATTACTTTTCTAACAATTATATTGATATTATATTAAATAAAATATTTTTGTTTTATATAAAAATATATATTAGTTATAAAATATGTATTAAAAATATTTTTTGTTTATTTTTCTCCACACCAATTTTTACACAAGTTTAGCAAACAGTTTTTATATTTTAATGTATTTTTTACTAAGTTATACACATTTAACAATTATTAGTTATTATATGTTATTTGTAGATTTAATATGAAATATTTTTATGAAAAAAAAATAAAATAAATATTAACTAATAACTTATTAGTTTTTTAGTTCTAAAAACTAAAAAACTAAATAAAAACTATTTTATTATTTTCTACCTAAATAAATAGAATAATATATAATAATATATTTTTTTTGTATTAAAATGTTTTTAGTTATATACTGTAGTAATAGTTATAATATTCAAATAATTTATTGAATTTAATAATAATTTAATTGAATATTTTTGTTATTATTATTATAATTATAGATTTTTTTTATTAATTAAAACATTTATTTCTATTTAGTAATAATAGTAATAATATAATTACAATAAATACTATGATATATATAATTATTATATAATATTAATACTCATATAAACTTATCATGAAATTAATTAATTAGATGAACTCAATTATATTTTTACTTGAACTTTATATTAATTAATTAATTAATCTAAAACATTAAAAAAATTAATACATTAACAGATTTTTTTATTAATGTAATTTCTATTTATAAATAATTTTATATTATTATATAATAATATATTTAATTTTTTTAAAAAAATGTATATTTTATGTATATATATATATATATATTGTGTTTTTCTAAATTAAAATAATAGATTTTTTTTATTTTGATAGTTTTGTTTATAATGTTTATAAATATTAATATAAAAAAAATCATATAAATTATATTAAAATAAATAATTAATTATATATTATATTTGCTTAATTAATTATATATTATATTTGCTTAATTAATTAATATTATTAATATAAATCTATTTTTTTTAATTTAAAACTATTAATTTATTTATTAAATTATTTTTTAAAAAAAATCTGTTAATCATTATTAATAAAAAGTTTTAAAAACAGCAACCATTTAAACAACAACAACAAAAAACAAATTTTTATTAAATAAAAAATTACAAAATAAAAATTATTAAAAATGGCTACTTCATCTATAATATCAATAATAATTGTAACAGTGACAATTATTAATTTATTCATATTAATTGATCATGCTGATTCTGCTAATGAACAACGTAAACAACGTGGTAGAGGTACTAGTCCAGAGGGTAGAAATAAACAATATCAGATACTTGTCAAAAAATATGGACTAGGAAGTATGTATATAGTTTAATATAATCTAGTACCTATTATTTATATTTGGGATGATTCACATATTACGAACGTATTTTTTTTAACAAATGAGGGACTGAGAGGGAAGATGGGGTGTGGGTAATGGTAGATATATCAACAAAAAATGATTATCGCATTTAAATTAAATTTTATTATATAGATTTATAAGTGGGGTGGTGGGGTGGGGAGGGGGGTTAGAGATTATGTATATGCTATAGTATTTTTTGTTGTTGTTAAACATTCAAACAATTTAAAATTTTATTTGGATTGAAAAAAACAGTAGAACGTAATATGTTAATCATCCCTCAAATCTATATATCATCTATCTATATACTTTTATATATATATATATATATATATATATATATATACTATAGATTGTAATGCAACTGCTTATCATCATCGATGTCCTAGTGGTCAGTATTGTTGCAATTTTGGCGGATATGTTATCAATTGTCCCCCAAATTATAAAGTATGCGAAGGAATTTGTTGCGACACTAATAATGGCTATCTTTGTCGCTATAGTGATGATAAAGATTTTAATCATGGTCATTATTGTAATAAAGAAAAATAAACTAGCTATATTATAGTTATTTTAATTATTAAAAATAAGTATTTATATATTATTTAACTATATCTCTATAGTATCTATATATATATATATATTAAAATTAATATTTTTGAAAAATAATTATTAATGTTTTTAAAAAATAATTCTAAATTAATATTTTTTTTAAATATATAAAATGCATAATTAATATTGTATTTTTTTATGTTTTCAAATTATCAAAAATATATACAGTAGATATATAATAAATTATTTACTATTTAAAACAAGTATTATTAATTTTATATATTTAAAAGGTCATCCTCGATAATTATATTTATAATAATAAATAATTAAAATATGTTACAAAAAAATGTACTTATGTTTGAATAGATTAAATTTGAATTTAAATAAATTATGTAAAAAAATTATTTTAATTTAAAAAAACTGCCATTTTAAATATTTTAAATCACCATTTAGTATAAATATAGATAATCTATAAAATCTATAACTAATCTAATTTTACTATATTTTAGTATATAAAATATTTTGTTTTTTGTGTTAAAAATAATGATAATATATAAACTACTATTTAAATTGTCCATGCTATTATTATTATTATTAATTGTAATTGATTATCCGGATTATAATTGTAATCGAGTTGCTCATTTAAAAATATATACGGATGAGGAATATAGACAAATAGATTTAAGCAAAAAAAATATATGGAAAAAGGAAGTAGGTGAAAATTTTAAGTTGGAAATAAAAATTGAAAAATTATTTTTTACCTCTCACCTATCCCTCCCTCCCACATACCCTCCATCACATCCGCGACTACTAAAATAAAAAAAAACATAATTGTCCACTGGGTCCATGGTGTTGCGATGACCATGGTAACGCTATAGTAGTCGAGCTATTTGTTGTCCCTAAAATCGTGGGGTCCTAACGGATACGGATAGACAAAATCAAGGCTATTATTGCAAAAATGATGGTCAAGATGGAGGAGGAGATCAAGGAAGAGGTAAAGATAGAGGTCAAGGAGGAGATCAATGAGGAGGTCAAGGAGGAGGTCAAGGTGGATATCAAAGTGGATATCAAAGTGGATATCAAAGTGGATATCAAAGTGGATATCAAAGTGGATATCAAAGTGGATATCAAAGTGGATATCAAAGTGGATATCAAAGTGGATATCAAAGTGGATATCAAAGTGGATATCAAAGTGGATATCAAAGTGGATATCAAAGTGGATATCAAAGTGGATATCAAAGTGGATATCAAAGTGGATATCAAAGTGGATATCAAAGTGGATATCAAAGTGGATATCAAAGTGGATATCAAAGTGGATATCAAAGTGGATATCAAAGTGGATATCAAAGTGGATATCAAAGTGGATATCAAAGTGGATATCAAAGTGGATATCAAAGTGGATATCAAAGTGGATATCAAAGTGGATATCAAAGTGGATATCAAAGTGGATATCAAAGTGGATATCAAAGTGGATATCAAAGTGGATATCAAAGTGGATATCAAAGTGGATATCAAAGTGGATATCAAAGTGGATATCAAAGTGGAGGTCATGATGGAGGGTAATCAATGAATTGTTTGAAATAAATAGAAAAAACAACATAAAACTATTACAGAAAATCTTTCTATCATTCTCAACTTTTTAATTAATATTTTTATAACATATATTTTATATTATTTTATATTGTTATATTATTAAAAATGTCATGTTTCTGAATACTTGCTATAGGCTGCCATAGGCTGCATTTCAAGTAAGACCTATAAATCATTGTATTTAAAAGCATATTAATACATATAAATATTTAGTATTATAATAATATTAAATTATTAGTAATTTTATATCATATTGTTTTTAAAATTATTTATCTATAAACAATTTAACAACAATAAGACCTGAATAAAATTATGAAAAAATATGTTTGTTTCTATAGAAATAAAATTAATTTAAATATTATATTACATTTTAAATTAATTTTTTATATAAATTATTTTGTTTTACAAAATTATTTTAAATAGTTTATTTTATTTCGTAATTCAGTAAAAGCATTAAAGCAGTAATTATGACTAATAAATTTAATTTAATTAGTAATAGTTTACTACTATTACAACTTATTAAGTTGTCCATTTTGTTTATAATATTATTATTACTAATTAATCCCGGTCGTTATTGTAATGAAGATTATAATCGATATGAAGCTGAAAAAGTTCATACAGATGAGGAATTTAAACAAATGGATGATGCTTATAACAAACTGAATATTGAAAAATATGGAAAAGGAGGTTGGTAAATTAATTTTAAATTACCTAAATGGCTAGTTAGTAATAGTAATAGTAATAGTAATAGTAATAGTAATAGTAATAGTAATAGTAATAGTAATAGTAATAGTAATAGTAATAGTAATAGTAATAGTAATAGTAATAGTAATAGTAATAGTAATAGTAATAGTAATAGTAATAGTAATAGTAATAGTAATAGTAATAGTAATAGTAATAGTAATAGTAATAGTAATAGTAATAGTAATAGTAATAGTAATAGTAATAGTAATAGTAATAGTAATAGTAATAGTAATAGTAATAGTAATAGTAATTATTTAATAATTTGTTTTTTAATAATTATAATTTTCATCACATTATAAACAGATTGTCCAGGTAGTCGACATAAATGTCCACTGGGTCCATGGTGTTGCGATGATTATGGATATGCTAGAAATTGTCCGCAACAAGCGTGTCGTGGTATTTGTTGCCAAGAAAATGATAAATGTCTACGAAAAGCTCTTAATGCTTATTGGTCAGAAATTGATAAACAAAATGATGGCTATTATTGTAAAAATGATGGTCAAAATGATGGCAATGCTGATAATTTTCAATGGGATTTCAAACCAAATGGTGGCCAAGAAAATGAAGGACTTTTTAATTTTAATATTGGAAAATAAATCAGTTTTAATTATTTTAATTAATAGATTAGTTAATTAATTATAAAAAAATTAATTAAATTAATGTATGTTTTTTAATTAATAAACGCCATTTAAATAATTGTATTTAATAATAATTATATTATTATAATTTGATTATTGCTATTATATTATATTAATTATAATTAATAATTATTATTAGATTATTTTTATTAAATTTAAAAAAATAATTTTCATACTTATTTTTTGCTTACTTAATAAAAAAATTATTTACATTATTATTAATTTTTAATTTTTATTACAAATTTATGTATATTATTTAAATAAAATATAAATAAAATCAGTTTTCTTTTAAATATTTTTTGAAATAAAAATATTTACTCGTTAATTAATTATAGTATCTATAAAAAATTTTATTTCATTTACATTTTTATAGTCATTTGTCAACATGATAATTTGTTTTTTTTTTTGAATTTAGTTTCTTTAGTCATTTATATTTTACATGACTGATGTTGAGATTATTTTGTTTAAATTAGTAATATAAACCATATGCTATATTAAATATTAAATTAAATCCTACAATATATATATATATATACAAAATGGTGATTTTAGTAATTTTACAACAATTTTTTTATTTATTAATGAAATTCATTTTTTAATTATTATTTGTTTCTATAGAAATTTAAATTGCTTACATTTCTAAGTTACTTTCCATTTTTTAATAATATAATGTTACTAATAGATATTATTATTAAAAAATATTAAATAAATAAAATCGCAATTATTATTTTATATTTATTATATTTATGTTACTCATCACTCTCTAAACTGAAACTAAAGTAAACTTGATTATTATGATATATAATCGTAATATTATTATTAGTAATAGTTTACCACAACTATTACTATTTCAATTGATCATGTTGTTAATTGTATTATTATTAATTGTAATTGATCCGTCGGGTTATCATTGTGATAAAGATGCTAATCAAAAAATCTTTACAAATGAGGAATTTAGAAAAATGGAAGATGAAAAATCCAAAGAAAATATTAAAATATTTGGAAAAGGAGGTAGGTGAGAATATTTTATAATTTATAAAAAAATATTTTATAATTTTATTTTATTGTTAATTACCACCTTTCACACTTATGCCTATCTCCACACAATAACAGATTGTCCAGGAAGTCGACATAAATGTCCACTGGGTCCATGGTGTTGCGATGACCATGGCAATGCTAGAGATTGTCCGCATTCATTTTGTCGGGCCATTTGTTGTCCGGAAAATTATACATGTCGACGAAAATTCGACGAACCTGAATCGGAATTGGATAGACAAAATGATGGCTATTATTGCAAAAGTGATGGTCAAGATGATGGTGGACAAAGTGGAGGTCAAAATGGAGGTCATGTAGGTCAAGATCAAGGTGGTCAAGATCAAGTTGGTCAAGATGGTCAAAGTGAACAAGGAGGACAAGATGGAGGTCAAGGAGGACAAGATGGAGGTCAAGGAGGACAAGATGGAGGTCAAAGAGGACAAGATGAAGGTCAAGTAGGTCAAGATGGAGGACAAGATGGATAATAATCTAAAAGTTATCAGTGATTGTTTTAAATAATTATTATAATAGTATCGCATAGTATAATCTACTATTGTTTATAATAAATAAAATTTATTTATTAGAAAATAATTTTATTATAATTATTCTTTTATTAATTTCAAATAATATTAATAATGAACATTAACTAACAAAAAATATTTTATAATAAATAAAAAAAATTTTTGTTAGTTATTTTCAAAATTGAAACAACGCCATAATTATTTTTTTAAATCAATTAATTAAATTAATAATAAATTAAATGTTATTGAAAAAAAGTAAAAGTAGTTAATATAATTTGTGTGTTAAAAATGTACAAATATTACTATTATAATAAATATTTTTTTTAATTAATTTTTCTAAATTACTAATTAATTATTTTTAAAAAATTAATATTCTATTAATTAATTAATTTTACGAGTAGTTTGTAATATATTTTTCAATTTTAAACACTAAAAATATTTTATTTTCATTTTTGCAGTCAAGTAAAAGCATTAAAATTTTATTAAATATATTTATATAAATAATTAATTAATTAATTAATTAACTGATTAATTCAACTAAAAAAATAAAATAAAATAAATTATCTCTACAAATTTAACTAGTTTATTATTATTATTATTATTATTATTATTAATTGTGTTGGTATTATTAGTAGCAACAACAATAATTGATCATGGTCATTGTTTACCAGATGATGGCAACCCTGATAATATTCAATGGGATTCAAATGATGGCCAAGAAGGACTTATTAATCTTGGATAATAAAAATAAATTTTAATTTATTAATTTATTAATTATTTAATAAGATTTTATTTTTATATAATATAATTAATTAGTTAATTAGTTATTAATAAAAAAAAATAATATATAATTTTTTAATTAAATTAATAAACGCCATTTTGATGATTTTATTTTATTTTAATTAGTATATAATTAATTAGTTAATTTGTTATGAAAATCATTTTTATGAAAAAAAAGTAAAATCAATATTAACTAGTAACTTATTAGTTTTTTAGTACTAAAAACTAAAACTAAAAAACTAAATTAAAACTGTTTTATTATTTTCTATCTAAATAAATAGAATAATATATAATAATATATTTTTTTGTATAAATATGTTTTTAGTTATATACTATAGTAATGGTTATAATATTTAAATAATTTATTGAATTTAATAATAATTTTATTGAATATTTTTGTTATTATTATTATTATAATTATAGATTCTGTTTATATATATTTTTATTAATTAAAACATTTATTTCTATTTAGTAATAGTAAGAGTTTATGGATATGTAATCGAATGTTTTGTTGAAAACTGACTAATGGTAGAGAATAGGTGTCTAGACTTTAGTTTGTTTTAACAAAAAAAAACACTGGAACGTACTATGTTGATCATCCCTCAAATTTATATATATCATTTTTTATGATATTTTTATTTATATATATACAATATATAGATTGTAATGCAACTGCTTATCATCATCGATGTCCTAGTGGTCAGTATTGTTGCACTTTTAGAGAAAATGTTATCAATTGTCCCCCAAATTATAAAGAATGCGAAGGAATTTGTTGCGACACTAATAATGGCTATCTTTGTCGCTATAGTGATGAAAAAGATTTTAATCATGGTCATTATTGAAATAAAGAAAAATAATCTAGCTATATTATTATTATTATTATTATTATTATATAAAAAAATAAGTATTTTAATATATTATTTAAATGTATTTTTATAGTAAATCTATTATATTATATATATATATATATATTAAAATTATTACTATTTTTTTTAATTTTATTGCTAATAATTTAATCCGAAATAAATTAATATATTTAAAAACTGCAAAAAGTTTTGTGATTGACATTTTAAATATTTTCTATTAGATATTAAAACATATATTTTATTTCATTTTTAAAATGTATTTTAATATTATTTAATTATATCTCTATAGTGAATATTTATATTTATATTTTCTATTTATATTATATCTATATTTATATAATATATAATAAAATAATATATATATATATAATATATATAAAATTATTATTTTATAATTTTAATTGTAAAATAATTTCTAAATTAATAATTTTTTTAAATATCTTAAATATATATAATTCATATATATAATATTGTATTTTTTTAATGTTTTCAAATTAGCAGAAAATCTATACAGTAGATATATAATAAATACTTTTTAAAATTTTAAAATAGTTTTCTATTAATTTGTTTTACATATTTCATAATTAATACTAAATTTMTTTTATTTTATTTCTTTCAAAATGTCAGTCTGGATAATTATATAATAATAATTAATAATTAAAATATGTTATTAAAAAATTACTTATRTATAAATATATTAAATTTCACAATAAATAAATTAATTTAGATAAATAGTTGAATTAATTTCTAAAAAACTGCCATTTTATTAATTATAAAAAATTATTATTATTTTTTGTAGTTAAATAAATTATTTAAAAAATCGCAATTTAGTCTAAAAATATATATATATAATCTATAGATATATAACTAATCTTTTAAATAAAATGAATCTGTTAATTAATTATATTATCAAAAAAAATAATGATAAYATATAAGCGTAATATTATTAGTATTATTTTACAACTATTTAAATTGTCCATGTTGTTAATAGTATTATTATTATTAAATGTAATTGATCCGGGTTATCATTGCTGTCAAGATGCTGATAGAGAAATACAAACAAATGATGATTTTAGACAAATGGAAGGCAGAAAAAGTAAAAAAATATTGAAAAATATGGAAAAGAAGGTAGTTCAAAAAATCTAATCGTCTAATTGTATTTTTCTAATTTTACTTARCSCCCCCTCTTGCCCACTCCACTCCACTCATACCATAACAACAACAGATTGTCCAGGAAGTCAACATAAATGTCCACTGGGTCCATGGTGTTGCGATGATCATGGCAATGCTAGAAATTGTCCGCAACAAGAGTGTCGATCAATTTGTTGCCCTGAAAAACATATATGTCTCAAAAAATTGGATAACGAACAACTGACCGATTTGGACGGACAAAATGAAGGATATTATTGCAAAAATGATGGTCAAAATGATGGAAGTCAAGATGGGGGGTCAAGGTGGAGGTCACGGAGATCATGGAGATCAAGGAGAAAGTCAAGAAGGAGATCAAGGGGGAGGTCAAGGTGGATTACAAAAAAGAGAACAACGGTAAGGTCAAAGTTGAGACACCTAGCAGTATATACTGTTTATAATAAAAGATGGATCTATCTAATTAATAAATAATTTTTTTTGTTAAATGACTGGAAAAATTTTTTGTCATGTTAAGCACCTAGTATCTATTAATTTTAATTATTATTATTATTATTATCACGAATTCCTGAAAGGAATACGTATATGCATTCTATAAGTCGGTCTGTCGGTCTGTCGGTCTGTCGGTCTGTCGGTCTGTCGGTCTGTCGGTCTGTCTGTCCCACGAGGACATAGGTTCGAATCCACTATTTGCTACAAATTTTTTTTTTGTTTTTTTTTCTTATTTAAGTTTATTTTTTAGGAAATTGAAGAAAATTGTGTCCAAAAATTAATTAAAAAAATTTTGATTTTTTTTGAATTTTTTTTTGATTTTTTTTTGAATATTGATTTTTTGTTTTTTTCGTTTTTAAGTTTTATTTTTTATGAAATTGAAGAAAATGTTGTCCAAAAATTAATTAAAAAAATTTTGAATTTTTTTTTGAATTTATTTTTTTGAATTTTTTTTAAATATTGATTTTTTTATTTTTTTCGTTTTTAAGTTTATTTTTTAGGAAAATAGTAGTTTATTTTGTAATACTGAATCATTTGATACCCCACATGACTATAGTTGTATATTTTGTCATACTAAATCGTTTGATACCCTACATAACTTTAGTTGATTTTATTTTATCATACTGAATTTAATTTTTAATTATGATTAGGAATTCGTGTGGAAATGCTTTCTAGCATTCTCAACTGGTTATTATTATGACATATGTAATTTTTATTCAGGTTCATGTATATAAATTTTGGTCTCCTTAATTAATCAAAATTAATTAGTAGACAATATATTACACAATAGGTCTAACACTGATTGCGATCAATAACATAAAAAATAAACATTAATTTTTTATAGTAGCCAACAACAATAAAAAATAAGGAAAAGATTGTTTTCAGTATCTTTTAATGTAATATTAAAACACAAAAAAAAAACAAATAATTATTGTATTTAAAAACTTTAAGTAACAAACTGCCATATAATGGCTACTGTATAATCATCAGTATTATCAATAATAATTGTAACAGTGTCAATTATTATTAATAATTATTAATCTTGTTGATTCTGCTAATGATCAAATGTTAAAAAAATAAACAATATCAGATACTTGTAACAACAACAAAAATATATAGTAAAGTATGCATATAGTTAATCACCTTGTATAATTATATTATTTACATTTCTGAAAAATTAATTTATTTTCTAGCTGGTAATTTAAATCGAAATCTTAAATATATAAAATTTAAAAAATTGTATTAATTAATGTTTTCAAATTACCAAAAAAAAATAATTTAGTATTTAAAAGTTTTCTATACACATTTTAAATTTTTTTTTCTAAATTAATTGTATTTTATGTATTTTATATTTTTAAATTGTCAATTAAATTGATAATTATATAATAAATAAATAATTAAAATATCGATATATAGAAGTTATAAAATTTACATATGCTTGAATATATTAAGCATTCAGGGTGTCGGGCTATTTGTTGTCCAGAAAATCATACGTGTCGTTCAAAATCGTGGCGTCTAACGGATATGGATAAACAAAATCAAGGCTATTATTGCAAAAATGGTGGTCAAGATGATGCAGGAGGTCAAAGCGTAGGTCAAGGAGGAGAACAGGGTGGAGATCAAGGCGGTGGTCAAGATGAAGGTCAAGGTGGATATCAAGGAGGAGATCAAGGAGAAGGTCAAGATGGAGGTCAAGGTGGATATCAAGGAGGAGGTCAAGATGGATATCAAGGAGGTCAATATGGAGGTCAAGATGGAGATCAAGGTGGATATCAAGGTCAAGATGGAGGTCAAGGCGGAGGTCAAGATGGAGAGTAATCAAGAAGAATGGTTATCAATAAATTGTTTGACATTTTACGTAACAACATAAAACTATAACAGAAAATCTTTCTGGCACTCAACTGGTTTTTAATTAATATATTTGTACTTTTGTTTGTATATATTTTATACTTACATAATAATAATAAATAACTAAAATTATTTAGTTTAGAATATTACATTTCATATTAAACAAATTAAGTACAAACTATAACTGACAAATTTATTATGATAATGATAATTTGTAGTCAAGAAATAATAATTTAATATAAAAAAGAATCATCAAAATCAGATTGGTAGTTTTATTTTTATGGCTTGTTAAGTTTATCATAAATCATAATATATAAAATAATCTAAAATAAAAATGGCGTTATTTATGAATATTATATACTTATTAGATGAATTTTTCAATTATATTACTATTTCTAAAAATGTAATTATTAATTGTTGACTAGTTTTCACAATAATAGAATTTCAATATAAATTATAATATAAAATTGCAAAAGTGTGATTTATATTGAAATTCGAAAAATAATCTTGACAACAAAATATCATTATCATAATAAATTTGCCAGTTATAGTTTGGCCTGTAGCATAGTGTCTTTAGTTTCTCCTGATATTTTGTATATCTGGACATCCTAGTTTTGTGATTGTGTGTATATTAAGTGTGGTCGATATGATGTTCTAAAATGTATTTTACAGAATTAAATTATTTCTAACCGTTTAAAAGTTATTCAAAAAATACGCGGCTCAAGATCATTTGACCGTATCTTTATATATCTTTATTTATACTGTTATATAAAGATTATAATATTAGTAAAAAAGGTTAATAACTAGTTAATATTTAATTTTTGTAATAATTTTAAAGAAACTCTTTTTTTTTAATTATTATCATAATAAATTATTAATAATGATATCAATGCATTAATAATTATTACATAATTAATTATTATTATGTTGCAATAGAAATTAAGAGATTTTTTAAGCATTTCTAAATATTAAATTTCACATTAATTACTAATTACTTTAGTTAATTTTTTTTAATTTCAAAAAAAGTTTTTTTTTGTTAATTAATTTAATAAAATCGCCATTAAATTATATAGATATTTATATACCTGTATATATATATATATAAGCTATAGATATCTAATAAATTTATATTTATAAACTTAAAAACTGTACTAAATTTATTAATCAAATAACTATGACTATCTGTAAGAATATTATTATTAGTAGTAGTAGTAATAGTTTACCACTAGCATTAATACTGTTATTTAAATTGTCCATGTTGTTAATTGTAATTCATTTGGGTGTCAATCAATGTGAAACGGATGAGGATTATAAAAAATTTGATGAAATGTTAAGCAAACAAAATATTGAAAAATTTGGAAAAGGAGGTAGGTTAAATATATATTAATTATTTGCTAGTTGTAAATTAATTGTAAAATTTCGAATTACCATAACAATAATAGATTGTTTAGGTACACACACACACACACAAACACATATAGTCACACAAACACACAGAAACACACATATAGACACACAAACACACAGAAACACACAGAAACACACATACAAGCACACACACACAAACACACACACATACATACAAACACACACAAACACATAAACACGAACAAACACACACACAAAACCATTTAATTATTTTATAATAAAGGTTTATGAATTATTACCTCCCGACAAACATACCTACAACACTTTTTTCAATACAGACTGTACAGGTAGTCGACATAAATGTCCACTGGGTCCATGGTGTTGCGACGACTTTGGTAACGCTAGAAATTGTCTGCATTCACCGTGTGGAGGAGTTTGTTGCCCTGAAAATTGGACATGTGGTACCAAACAATTTGGTCTAGATGATTTGAATATACAAAATCAAGGCTATTATTGTAAAAATGATGCTGAAACTAATGGTGATCAATTTGATGATCAAGGAGGTCAATTCGGTTATCTAGGAGGTCAAGGTGGAGATCAAGGAGGTCAAGGTGTAGATCAGGGAGGTCAAGAGGGAGGTCAAGTTGAAAAGTAATCTAGACTAAAATTTAATTTGTTTTTGTCAAAACTCTCTGTATATAAATAAAATAAAATTAATTTCAATAAAAAATTAAAAGAATTAAATTGAATAATAATTAATAAAAAATATTATATATTTTTTTTAAATTTCAATTTTATTTTAAACTATAAATGTATTTGATTGTATTTAAAAACTCATTAATAAACGGCATATTAATAAAATAAATATTTAGTATAATACTAGTATTAAACTATTATTTATTTTATATAAAATAGTAATACATTTTATTTATTTAAATACAATTTCAAATAGTTTTTTATTTATTTCAAATAAAACCTCTTTAATTACAAAAATATAAATTAATAAAACTAATATGTTTGTTTCTATAGAAATGAAATTAATTTTTAATACTTATATTTCCGATTTAAATTAACTTTTATAAAAAATTATTTTAAATAGTTTATTTTATTTAGTAATTCAGTAAACAACTATTTATTATATAACTATATAATTATGACTAATAAATTTAATTTAATTAGTAATAGTTTACTACTATTACAACTAATTAAGTTGTCCATTTTGTTTATAGTATTATTATTAATACTAAGTTTATACAGATGAGGAATTTAAACAAATGGGTGATGCTCTAACCAAACTTAATATTGAAAAAAATGGAAAAGGAGGTTGGTAAATTAATGATAGATTAGCTAATTAGCTAGTTAATAATAGTAAAATTTAGTAAAAACTATTACTATTACTATTACTATTACTATTACTATTACTATTACTATTACTATTACTATTACTATTACTATTACTATTACTATTACTATTACTATTACTATTACTATTACTATTACTATTACTATTACTATTACTATTACTATTACTATTACTATTACTATTACTATTACTATTACTATTACTACTATTACTATTACTATTACTATTACTATTACTATTACTATTACTATTACTATTACTATTACTATTACTATTACTATTACTATTACTATTACTATTACTATTACTATTACTATTACTATTACTATTACTATTACTATTACTATTACTATTACTATTACTATTACTATTACTATTACTATTACTATTACTATTACTATTACTATTACTATTACTATTTGATCCGTCGGGTTATCATTGTGATTGAGATGCTAATAAAAAAATGTTTACAAATGAGGAATTTAGACAAATGGAAGATGCAAAAAACAAAGAAAATATAAAAATATTTGGAAAAGGAGGTAGGTGAAATTTTTAAAAAATTATTTTTTAACTATTTTATATTATTTACTACCACTTGATTATACCAATCATCTATATATATAAAAAAAGATTGTCCAGGTAGTCGACATAAATGTCCACTGGGTCCATGGTGTTGCGATGACCATGGCAATGCTAGAGATTGTCCGCATTCATTTTGTCGAGCCATTTGTTGTCCGGAAAATTATACATGTCGTCGAAAATTTGACGAACCCGAATCGGAATTGGATAGACAAATTTATGACTATTATTGCAAAAGTGATGGTCAAGATGATGGTGGACAAAGTGGAGGTCAAAATGGAGGTCATGGAGGTCAAGATCAAGGTGGTCAAGAAGGTCAAAGTGAACAAGGAGGACAAGATGAAGGTCAAGGAGGACAAGATGGAGGTCAAGGAGGACAAGATGGAGGTCAAATAGGACAAGATGAAGGTCAAGGAGGTCAAGATGGAGGTCAAGGAGGACAAGATGGAGGTCAAGGAGGACAAGATGGAGGTCAAGATGGATAATAATCTAAAAGTTATCAGTGATTGTTTTAAATAATTATTATAATAGTATCGCATATTATAATCTACTATTGTTTATAATAAATAAAATTTATTTATTAGAAAATAATTTTATTATAATTTTTCTTTTATTAATTTCAAATAATATTAATAATGAACATTAACTAACAAAAAATATTTTATAATGAATAAAATATTATTTTTGTTAATTGAAATTTAAAAAATAAAACAACGCCATAATTATTTTTTTTAATCAATTAATTAAATTAATAATAAATTAAATAAGTTATTGAAAAAAAAAGTAAAAGTAGTTATTATAATTTGTATGTTGAAAATCTACTACTATTACTACTATAATAAATATATTTTTTTAATTAATTTTTCTAAATTACTAATTAAATATTTTCAAAAAAAAATAATATTCTATTAATTAATTAATTTTATGAAATATATATTTTTTTATTTTTAAACACAAAAAAATATACTTTATTTTAATTGTAATTTGCAGTCGTAGTAAATGCATTCAAATTAATTAAAATATATTAATATTACTAATTAATTAAACTAAATTATGTCTACAAATTTAACTAGGTTATTATTATTATTAATTGTGTTGGTATTATTAATATCAACAATAATAATTGATCATGGTCATTGTTTACCAGATGATGGCAACCCTGATAGTATTCAATGGGATTCAAATGATGGCCAAGAAGGACTTATTAATGTTGGATAAATAAAATCAATTTTTAATTAATTAATTAATAAGATTTTTAAATTTATTTTTAAATAATATAATTAATTAGTTATAAAAAAATAAAGTAATAAATTATTTTTAATTAAATTAATAGACGCCATTTTGATGATTTAATTTTTTTTAATAACATTTTAAATAATTGTTTGTATTTTTTTTTAATAATTACTGTATATTTATATAAATTATTATTAGATTATTACTATTGAATTAGTGTTATTATATTTACTATAATTATTATGTCTAAATTTAATTAAAATTGTCTATGCTGATTTTTTGTTAAATTAATAAAAAAGTTAATTAAATTTACTATTATTTTTTTTTTACTTTTTATTATTAATGAATTTGTTTTAAATAAAATATAAATATAAATATAATTTGTTTCTCTTATAATATCTATTTTAATAATAGCAATAAATATTTTTTATCTAAATAATTTATTAACTCATTAATTAATTACAATTTGATGAAAAAACAAATAATTAAATGCTATTTTATAATTAATGACAATTAGATAAAAATTTAGGTTAATAATAATATTTAAATAGTTAAGAAAATAATTATTAAAAATATATTGAATAATTTTTACATGAATAGTATTATATATATATATAATATATTAAATAATTATTTTTATATATATTAAACAATATATATATATACTATTTTTTTATGATTAACAGTATAATACAAAATTGGTTTATAACTATATATAGATATTAATTAAAAGTTTATTTTATTTTACAACAAAGTAGACACAAAAAAAAAACTTTTACGTAAAATAATATAACAATTATTAATAAAACAAACAAAAAAAATCTATTTATTTAACGGCGAAAACATATCCAAATACTCGGGCTGTTTGGCACTCCATCGGACAACTTCGGGTCCGGCCATATATCGGGGCTGACGGCCACCGCCACCGTCGCCTCCGCCAACTGTTTCATAATCGACCGATTCGTAGGCCATTGATTTGCGGCCGCACTGACCGCTACCGTCTAGAGGTCCGCCACACGAATCGTAGTAGAGATCGCCGCCGCCGACGCCGCCGCCGGCATCTGCGTAGAACTCTTCGCTGTAACGATGCTTACGTTGGCTATCGTTAATTTCGGCGCGTGTTTCGCGTAGTTCGCGTCGCACGCGCTTAGAATAAATCCGGAATACGATTACAACTATTACAATGAATACGACGAGTACGGCAAACAATATACCAGATATGGCAAACCCGGATAGACCTGTATTTTTTAAATATAAAAAAAATTATTTAATTTTTTATTAACTAAATATATTATATTTTTAGAAAATTTTTTTAAATATAAAACTTAATATTTTCTTTTATATTTTAAAATTAAATCAATTTATAGATTATTATTGGTTTTCTAATAATGTCTATATATGCAATAAAAAATATTTATCTAAAAAAATAATTAATTATTATTTATGAAAATTACAGAAATTTGCAAAAAAAAATTATTTAATTGGAAAAAATATAATTTTTATAAAATAAAAAAACTACTATTGAATAGTTTTCTTTTAAAAATTATATTACAACTCAATAGTTAGACTAAGTTTTATTTATGACTAAAATCATTTTATTTCGAAAAAATTATTAACTAATTAACAAATTACAGTTTACAAATTAAAATAAAATAAAAATAATTAATCAAGCTAATTAATTATTTTAKTAAATATATATTTTGTTAAAAAAATAGTTTAAAATACATATAGTAAATACTTAGTACTAGTATCTATAATACTAAATTAATTAAATAAAATATATATTAGGTTATTAATTTGTAAKTATTATTAAAAAAATTATATTAAATTAAATAACTAGCACAAATTTATTAATAATAAAATAATTAGTTAAAAGTAAGTAAACAAAAATATGTAAACAAAACTCATATTTAATTATTTTTTTAAAAAAATATAAAAATAAATAATTTATTTTTATTTCAAACTTACTTGTATTGGTACAAAACGGTTGTTTGCCCGACCAGTGGCCAGTTTTCAGGCATAGCCTAATATTTCGGCCGGGCATAATATCGTCCTCACGGGCACATACATACCTGACCCAGGTATCATTGATGGCGTACCAGTGGGTTTTGTTCAGATAGTAGGCGTTACCTATTTCTTCAATTACTACCGATGAGTCCAAGTTGTCGGTAATTTCCGGTTTCGGGCAAACAATTTTCGGCTTACAAATCGGCCACTGGCCAGTCCATTGGCCATTTGCTGAACACGTAAATCTATGTCTAAATGTATTTGATGATAATTAATTAATTAATTAATAATTTAAATAATTTATTGTTTTTTTAAGTRATAGGAATATATGTTTTTTATTAATTAATTAATTTTGTTTTTATATTATTATTATTAAAAAGTTTTTTTTTAGAAAATTAATTAATTAACTAACTAATTATAACATTAAACTTTTAAATTAGTTATTTTAATTAATTAAAAATAATTTTAAATAGTTAAATAATTTGATTGAATATTAAATTCATATAAAATTAATTAATTAATAAATTTAAAAAATATATTTTTATTTTCCTAAAATAGTAGATAAAAAATTAATTAAAAATYAAATAATTAATTAATTATTTGTTGTATWTTTATATATATATATATATATATATATATATATATATATATATATATATATATATATATATTATTATAAAAAAATATTGTATTTTWTAATTTAATTTAATCAAAAATATWATTTAAATAAATTTTAAATAATAAATTGTTTTATTWTAACAAAAATAACAACTGTGTTTATACTTACTTAATATTACCGCTCAGTTGGCTTATCATTGTTGCATCCCTGTCCYYATSRTTCAAATCGATAAACGAATCGTTACACGATATAAATGCATAGCCTTGTTCAGTGTTGGCATCGACACCCAGATTTTGGACTTCAAATTGTCCGCAATCGGGTCGGACTAGTTTACCGCCTGGCAATTTGGATGTATATACGGTGCCGAGGAAAACGGCATCCAAACCCAGCTCATGCGCTACACTGGTATTTATGTGGACAGTTAGCTGATTGTCTGGTTGTTCCTGTTTAGGGTCGACACCCGGGTTGAGATCACAATAATAATAGTAACCAATAGCCATATCGGATGGTCCGAGTACTTGGCGTTTCGTTTTCTGTAGACTACATTGACGCTGTTTGCTGACTACCGGTACCACAGTAGGTATGGACTGATTGGCACTGGTAGGTCGGGTCTGGTTATTCAATGGAAACCATACGTCCAACAAYAGRTAGGCTATGCTTACGGGTTGATCAAATCGGATACGCCATGTATAACAACGGGATTCCCGTACGGATATCTGTATGTCTAACGGTACCCGTTGGGAATGGTATGAATTACGTCGGATCGGATGCTCGGTGGTGTATCCCATGTTGTGTTAACCGGTTGGGACAGTAGCTGACGATTGCCGGGCGATTGACAATCGTAGACATCCATGTGTACTACCTGTGCGTCCAAATGTTCGCCTATTTTATAGTTTAGTATTTTTTTAAATAATAATAATTAATTTATTTATTTATTATAAAGAAATAATATAATAAATAAATTATTATAAATAAATAGTTTAGTTATTATTAATAAATAACATAATTAATTATATTTAGTTAAAAATAATTTTTTAGTAATGAATTATTCTAATTAATAGTTATTGATAAATTATTAATTATAGTTATAATATTTGAAAACAAATAATTAATTACAGTTTTTATTTATTTTTTTAATTAATCTATTGTGATTTATATGGTTAAAAAACAAATTTTTTATTTTAAAAAAATTTACTCAAAATTTTTGTAATTAATTAATTAATTTTTTTTGTTGATAATTTAATTTTTAAACACTAATTATAATTATTATCATAATTTCTGGTAATATATATATTTTTTWWWAAAAATAAATTTTTATAATTTATATCTAATATATATATATATATATATACTGTATATAACTTAATATGATTTAAATAACTAAAAAAAATATCAATAAAACTAAACTATATATATATAAATTTTTTTTAATTAAAATATTTATTTATTTATTTATTTATTTATGTAATTTTTTTAGACACCACTAATACATACCGCACCGAAACGGACTGCCTGTCCACTGGCCGTTCAGACACTGTCGGGTTTGTTCGTGTTGGGGAAACTCATCCGATTTGCAATAGACTGAGACTTTTTCCCGATTATCGAAACGGCTTTTTTCGGGTGAAATCAGCCATAGACTGGACTTTGGCGGCAAACCAGGACGTCCGCACATACCGGTGACCGGCGGTGTCGGTGACTGTATGGGTGGTGACGACTGGTCTATCGTATAGACAGTTGTTATTATATAAACTAATAAACAACTAATACTAGGATTAATAATAAATATTAATTTGTAATTTAAAATCATTTTTTGTTTGTTTGTTATTTTAATTATGTATTTAAATTAATTTTAATTATTATTAATAATATCATTGAACAGTTAAATATAAAAATAAAAACAACAAAATATAATTGAATTTTAATTTATTGGCCAAAAATAAAAACTAGTTTTTTTCAAAAAATATTTTTGTATTTATTATTACTATAAAAATAAATAACTAATTTAAATAAATAGTTTGAATAAATAAATATTTTTAACTACATTTTTTTAACAAATAGTTAATCGATTATAAAATTTATTGAAAAATTTATTTAACAAAAAAACAAAACAAAATTATTTTTATTAATATTTTCTACAATTTTTATAATCCGGGAAGTGATGTACAAAAATATTGTAGAAAATTATTATTATTATTATTATTTCAAAGACATATCAATAATATCAACAAAAAACTAGTTAACACTTTTAACTATATTTTTATATTAAACTATATTAATGTATAATATTAAAAAAATTAATATATTTTTAAATAGTAAAAAATTATKATATATAAAAAAATTAGTTTTTTTAAATATTATTCATTAATAAAAATTTATATAAAAATATATAAATTAAAACTTACAACAAAAATTATACATGTTCATTTATTTATAAAAAATAAAACTTATTATTTTATTATAATATATTATTGTTTATAAGTTTTATAACAATACAGTCAAACACAATATAATTTATATTTATAAATACTGTATATATATATATATATATATATATATATATTTAACAAATATATTAATTAATAATTTTTCAATTTAAACAACAACAACAAACAAACAAAAATGTCAAATAAATTAATTTTTATAACAATGAAAATAATAATTATTATTATTATTTACTTATTATCAATACTGTCATCAATGGATGGCTTATCATATCAATGGTGGTCCAGGGAGTATAGGGAACAGGGATTTGGTGGCCATAATGTTAGGACACCCATACCGTTTCATTTAAGGTATTCATATTTATTATTAGTTTTAATTATTATTATTATTATAACAATATCTAAAATTTAAAAAAAAGATAATTAATTAAATCAATTTATTTTAATTAATTTTTTATTGAAAAAAATAAATAAAAAATAATTAAGATTACCAAAATTAGGATGGAAAATATTAAAAGATATACATGGTGATTTAAAATCAATAGCTACCGATGCTAAATATGTACCCAAAAATGTACTGGATATTTTAAAAGATTTTCCCATTATAAATAAGGTTAATAGTAAATTGGTTCAAGATAAAACAGTTTAATTTTATATTAGTTATTATTTTATTGTTTGTTTTGTTAATATTATTTATATTTTATTTTTTTTATACAAAAATTTTTTTTTCAATTTATTCTCTATTTATTTAATAATAATAAATAAAAATATGTTTTCAATATCACCTTAGTAATATAACAATAAAATTTWAAAGTGCAAAAATCTATAATTTTTATTTTATAAATTATTTATATATTTTAAAAATAAATACTTTATTATTAATAATTTTTCAAAGAAAAAAAACAAATTTAAAGTCAAAAAATACATTTACAAKAAAACATATAATATTTTTTAGTATTTTATGTCTACTATACAAGGATTTCCTCTTTTTATTATTATTATTATTATTATTATTATTATATGATTTACACAATATATAGATAATAAATGTTATAAAATTTTTATTATACTTATTATAAAAATTTTATTATTTACTTATATCTAAATATTAATTTTTTGTATAAAAGTTTATGTTTTAATTAATTAATTAATTTTTACTGAAATACAATATGAGTTATCAGAAAATTATCAATTTATTAATATTATTAGCTAGCTACATTTTATTGATAATTATAATAATTGACCATCAACAATGTACTGGTCAAAAATTAAAATGGTGGAAACGTAATTATAGGGAAAATTTTTATGCCAGTAATAAATATGGTAAACATGGGCACAGGTATGTAAAGTTTATATAAATATATATATATATTAAAAAAATAATATTTAAAAACAGTTAGTCATATAGACTTATATGTGTATATAAAAATTTTTATATATACAGTAATATACATTTATGGATAATAATAATTTGTTTTTAATAAATATTCATTACTTTTTTAATATAATTTATTTATAATTTATTTTTGTTTGTTTTTTTTGGATATAGACTACAAAAAACAAGATATGTTTAAAACAACAATTAAACAAAAACAAGAAAATTAATTTAAATAATAATTTAAATAAATATTAATTATTATTATTATTTATAATCAAAAAAATGTAAATGATTAAAATCTAATATATGTTTTTTTTGCATTAATTGTCTATCAATTTACTAAAAATAATAGTTTATTAATTTAAGAAACAAAATTTTAAAAAAAATATTTAAATAAAAAATAAAAATAAACTATTAATAAAAATTATATATCAATAAATTAAATAAATGTTTTTAAAAAATAATTTAAACAATTTTTTTTTATAATAATGTAATATTTTGTAATAAAAATTTTATGCTTTAATAAATATTTGAAACACAAATAATTTATTAATTGAGACTAATTGTTGATTATTAAGATTTTTATTGATTATTATTACTATTATTATTAATATTTTGTTAAATTAATAATAAATATAATAATAATAATAATAATAATAATAATAATACTAAAAAATATTATTATGACTRTTATTGTTATTAAAGACATATTTGTATAATTAATTATAATTGTTATTATTATTATTATTATTTCTATATATTGCATGTTATATTATTAACTACAAAAATATAAATAATTAGTATAATAATCATAATAACAATAAAAACAATTAACTATTTATTCAAGTTTAACGCACACTTAATTATATGTAGAAAAAAATTATTATTATTATTACAGTATAACATATATATATATACAGTATATACCGGTATATACTGTATATTACATTATAACCTATTTATTAGGTATTTATATATACCTGTAATAAACAGTTTATTGTAAATATCGCCCAAAAAAAACAATAGCAATGTTTTTCAAAACAAAATACATAATTAGTAGTAAATTCATTATATATATACATATTAGTGTGCAATAAGTATATATTATATATATATATATATATATATATATATACTGTATATTGTTTATCATCCCTTTATTTTCTATTCAAAACTGTTTTTTGTTAACAAATATTTTTCAACAATTATTATTATTATTATTATTGTATAATTTAAAATAAATATATAATATACATATTTATGTTACATATATATATATATATACTGTATATTAATTTTTTATTTAAATGCACCAAATTATTCATTGTGTTGTGTATTGTTGTTTTTTTAAATGAAAATATTTTGTTGTAATTGTTTTAACAATTTAACAAAAAAAAAATTAAAAATATTTTTTGAAAAGTAAAAATATTTTTTCTCTACATATTTAGCAGTCAATTATCACGTTAGTCATGTATACTTAAATTTTTTTTATTTATAATAATAATAATAATACATATTTGTATACTATTTAATTAAAATCATACAATCATTTAATTGGTGTGTATATATATATAATGTTTGGGTGACTAATGTTATTTATCTATTGTTTTTTGTGTTATATTTTCATATATATATATTCATATATAAATAATATATATATATATATATATATATATATATAAAAAAAGTTTAATAAATATATTACATTTGTGTGCAAAAGTGTAGGCATATTTTGAAACATGTTTTTTTTTTGTTGTAGAAACCATTGAAGCAAAAAAATAGTGTCAAATATATTGCAAAATATAATATTTTAATATAAATATTATATATTTATATATATTTAATGATTAGTTTATTTCAATAGTGAAATATATAAATGTTGAGATGTTTAATATATTGTAAAAAACTTATATATATATATATATATATATATRTGATATTTAAAATATTTGATCTAGTGTAATTTTTATTAATTAAATTATTTATTACTAAACTAATAATAAATAGCTAATAATTATATAATATGGCCAATGATAAAGCTAAATGTAAGTAATAGAAAAAAATAATAATTATTATTATTTATTATTATATTTATTTTTTTTTATAAATAATTTAATAGTCCCAACAAAATCTATGATACCGGTGCCCAATACTACTACTACTACTACTACTACTGGCAATAATTTGACACGACTCGGGTATTATGCAAAAAGTACCCAAAGTTTATATAATAATAAAAAACAACAATTTAGTTGTTGTTCAACAACAACATCATCATCATCGACAACAACAACAACAAAAAATGATCATGGTCAAAAATTATTAGCAACTAACAGCACCTGTAGCACCAGGCAGCATCGACATCATCAATCAACTTTAAATCTATCCAGACACTATTCAACGTCAAAAATTGCAATAGCTACTACCACTACCACCAAAAATGGCCAGGTAGGTCAACAACAAAATAATAATAAAATCAATTATTTTGGTTATATAAGCCGGGCCAGTTCCTATATGGAGTTAAACAAACAACAACAACATCAACAAGGTTAGTTAAATTATTTTTAAAAAAATAATAATAATTAATTTTTWAAAAAATAATAATAATTAATTTTTAAAAAAATAATAATTAATTTTTATTTTATTTTTCTGTGTTGTAAAATATTATATAATATATTATTTTTTTAAAAATAATTTTTAAATGCTCTCAATTTTAGTCATATACAGTATATGATTAATAAACTGTATTATTATTTAGTTATTTTTTTTATAGTTATTAAAAATATATTGCTAATAGTAATAGTACTGGATAATTTTTTTTTATTATTATTATATAA